TTTGAAAAGGATTTACACACACAGTGGAATTCCACTTTCATGTAGTATTAAATATTTATGCTGCTATAATGTCTTGGAGTAGCAATTTAAAAAGTCAAACTGAAGAAAACATTTGGAGTAGGCTTTAAAAAAAAAAAAAGTCACTCACTTTATATGTGGCTGTAACCCTGGCTGTTCTTCATAATTTTCTATAAGAAAAGGAAGATTTTTGGCCCAGTGGTCTTTGAAATTTCCAGGAAGATCTATATCAATATTATACTCTGTAAGAGGGGTATCCAAATGCGCATGTAAGTATCTAGAATACTCTGGAGGAAAGAAGAAATAAATAAAATTAAACACCATTTGCATAATTAGCCTACTGATGTAATTACATAAAACCAAAAATCAGCTCATATGTTTGCCAGTTATCCAACATGACTTCAATAAGTCATTACTCTTAAGGTAATTTAATTTTGCTATTAGCTAGTTTCCAAGACAGAAATAAGTCTATTTCAACTACGTATCATAACACACTCTACCATTATACAGAAATGTATATTTCATTTGTGGTCCTAGTTTTTAACTGTGTGAACAAATAAGAATCAATGCACCTTTTTTTTCCAGACATACTCAACAGTGTTCACGAGAATGTATGATGGCTTCTTTAAAATGGCCACAACTACAAGCATGCTTGAACTTTTAGGGTTCTTGAAGGATTTAAGAAAATAAAAAAAAAGAAAAAGAAAAACAATTCCAACTTACCTCGGAGGTATTTAACTTTCAGATATTCTGGGCTGGCCTTCTGACCTGGTAGCGGATCATTTAACATAACTTTAGTCTGAGCTTTTATGCCTTCATAAAATTGTCCCATTGCAACATGGCTGAGGCCTTTCATGTACTGGCATACTTCATTGTACGGTTCCAGCTGTAGACATCTCTAGGAGATTAAAGGAACAAAGCAAAAATCAAGAGAGAGAATGAGTATCTTCAAATAAACTTGTCTGGTCAGAAAACCTGCATGAAAAGATTTACTTTATTATTAAGATCCACTTCCATCACAATTTTCTTTCAAATGATACTGAGTACTTAAATTGCTAGCAAATATAAGAAAAAAATATTTTCAGCGCTGAGTACTTGAATTGATAGCAAATATAAGAAAAAAATATTTTCAGCTTCATTAAAGAAAAAAAAACTGCCAGTGAAAACATGCTTTTGATCACTTTAATTGTTATGAAAATAGAACATGTTCGCTCTAATGATATCAGCACTACAGAAGTTTCAACATTAGTTGAATGAAATTAGACAAAACATACACCTGACAGTACTAGTCATCAGCTTCAATAAAGAAAAAAAAAACTGCCAGTGAAAATATGTTTTTGATCACTTTGTTATGAAAATAGAACGTTTGCTCTAATGATATCAGCACTACAGAAGTTTCAACATTAGTTGAATGAAATTAGACAAAACATACACCTGACAGTACTAGTCACAAGTCATTTTTGGCTAAATCAACATAAAAACATGCCATTTCTCATGCATAAGTACAGTTCATTATGTTAATTGACTATTTGCTATATGTTAAACACAGAAAATTCCTATTCATCATTCAAAATTAATGCTGATTCTTCTAGCAATTACATGCCACTAGAAAAACATCTCTATCTTAAAATATGAAATATCTTTTCAATTACAGTAGTATCTACAAATTGTGTTATAGAAGGTGAACATGTAATAATGCACATAAACTGTTCTCCTTGGGATAAGCACACACTCATTCAGAAAGGGATGTAATCATTTCCACATCTTATTTCATTCCTTGTTTTAAGGATACGGACATATGATTAATATATGCCTTTATTGTTCTGTCTACAAAATTAGGCTGTTATTTAAAGCCAATGGAGAGGGGTGAGATTTTGTTTACCTACGGAAACACACACATTTTTACAAGGTCAATGTACCATATTCTGAGTTTTTCAAAACAAAGAAAATACCTCAGAAGAATTAGATAAATATTGGAAATTTGTGTGCTTATTTTAAGCTTAAAATTACAAAGAGGACTACACTTCTGTCAGATATGAAAAAATCTTTAGGTTTGAACACAAACTAAAACACTAGCAAGAACACAATTACCAGTTTAAAAAAAAAAGATAAAACATTTTAACCAGAGCTTGGTTTCAAAAATTCATAAAACAGTTAGAGGAAGTATCTTAGTTGTAGCAAAATTCCATTTTTAATTAAAAACTGTAAGGTTTTGTACATTTCTTACGACAGACTTTACCAAAAAAATTAGTTCAAATGCACATACACATTCAGAATGAAAAACTTTGGTATTTGCCCATTTTATTGTACTTGTTTAAGACTAGTCCTTGTTTAAACTTTTTAATTTTGTATTTACTTAGGGCCTGCTTACCTTGAAATTCTTTAGTGCTTCATCTAAGCTACCATGATGATAAAGCATCATTCCTTTGAGCTGTAACGTCTGAACATGATTTTGATTTAGGAGCAAAGCCTTCTGGAAGCTCTCTGTAGCAGCATCGAAGTTGCCAAGTTCTCTAAGCAATTCCATAAAATGGAAAGTGAAGAACACAGAAGGCAACAGTGACAAAGAAATTACTTGTTAAAAGTTGCTTTAACACATCCAAAGGGGATATCATTAAAGAGGAACACAGTACTAATGGAAAATTTCTTCAACAAAACCAGTAATTCTGCAACTGTTCTTCAGCGGTAATAACAGAACAGCTGCACTGAGTTTTTCACTCCCAGAAACGTGTACTCCGAAATACAACCCCACAAGACCACAAATCTTCACAATCCTCAGCAGACATAAACCATAAAAACACATACCTATGGTATTTCTTCAGAAACTAAAAGAAACAAAACTTCCACAGAAAGCGATCTTGGAAAACACAATCTATGACAAGTCTTTTTAACTTCTAAATATAAACATGTTTTTTAAAATAAACTAACTACTTAATGCTGAATAAGAAGAACACACGTGGTGTCTGAAAGCTGAAACTAACAAAACATGTATTGACAGGAATTACTCCATGTACAGGACAGCTATTAGTAAAAACAGTCATAGAGGAACTGTAATGAAAAAAATTAAAACAGAAATAGTACACAAAACTTTTCTTCAGTTTTTTATCCAGTACACTGACTTTTAAAGTTTAAGATCATTAAATTCTTCCCACATCAAATTATATTAGATTAAATTGATACAAACAAAAGCAGCACCAGAAAAAAATAAACAAAATTTACTAATTTTAAATACATTTGCCAAAAGGAATTTTTGGGTGAAACAGTGATTAACCACAGCTCTTTAGTTTCAAATAAATGCACAAACACTGAAGTCACTAGATTTGAAGCAGGAATTAATCAGTAAAATGCCATAGCTCATGTTGTACAGAAGGACAAACCAGGCTCAGAATTGTCTACTTCCATTATAAAAGGAATTCTTTAAAAGGTATTTTTAAGGATTGTATTTGAAACTTATTTGATGCAGAAGAAAGCAAGTGTGAACTTAAAATACAAAATTTTAGAAAGAAAGAATTTGACAGCTGAAGTTAACAGTACCCTAGAGAAATTAGATTATTATTTCTGCCCGTTTTAAGACCTGAGTGGTCATGGGAAAATAATTCAAACTTTTCATAGCTGGTCACTAGTTAAGGTGTCTCCTTTTATTCAACAATATTCTATTCAGCTTCTGGCCTTCTCTAACTGGTGAGCATTTAGAAGAGTCAACAGTAATTGAGAGGTAGAGGTAGATTTCTTTACATTCCTTCCCCTATTATTTCCTGAGGATCAGAGAACTTTTGGAGGCAGGGGAAAGTGAGAGGGAATAAAAGCAACAAATTTCAGCTGATTAGGAATACTCTAGTTAGGTGACTTTTGCTTTCTAAAACAATGCAGTGCAAAATGACACATTTTAAGGCTTGCTTTTTTCTCTCCTTCAAAATAAAACTTCTTCAGATTAAAGTTGCTTGGGCACATCAACTAGAGAGGCAGTCCCACATCCAAATACAAAAGTTAAAGTATATATTGGAAACGTAAGACGTCAACTGCCCAACTTAACCCTTGCTACACAAAAGCCATTTATGTTGCAGGAGGATCTCTGCTGTAAATCACTGCATTCCATAAATAAAAATGTAAAACAGGAAATAAAAAGCTGACACAACACAGCAGGATGGGAAAGGAACTACAACGGGCAGAGATAATCAGTTGCTGACTATTTTATGTTCTTGACTTGTTACATACAAGCTGTATGTAGTTCTCTTCTTGGTAATGATCTGCAGACCACCTTTAAAGTAATACACTTTATTCAACTATAAAATATCTTTAATGTAAAATTAAAAAAGAAAAAAGTGACTAGTTACGTTACTAAATAGAGATTACTTTTTTAATTATTAGATTAATAGGTAAGAAACTATATATTAAAAATAACCTAAACGGGAAATTAGCTACATTCCCAGAACTGTAAATCTCTTCGGCAAGAGATTAACTGATACAGGATCTAGCAGTTCTATAAAATGATACGCACTATGCAATGAGTTTTTCTAGCAAACCCAGAAATTGTTGATATTGAACATATCCTGACATAGCCATACTGCCTGTAGGAGCTACCTGTGATACACGTACGATCCTGCAGTTTTGTAACAAGCATTTAAAACTTAAAGAGTGCATTTCAAAGAACACAATCAGATGTAAAGCAGATTTTAAAACTGTTTCTAAATGCCATTACCTGTAGGCTTGTCCCAGACTTTTATATGCATCTATGAAGTCTGCTTTCTGCTTCAGAGCTTCTTTGAATGAGTCAATGGCTTCCTACAGAAAGACACCAACAGAAAAATTTGTCCCTTACTGCACTCGTTTAATTTTAGCACCCTCAGTAGTCACTAGCCACAGATTTACCATTATTCATCAAAACTTTTGGAAGGAACAAACAAGGCATGAATTACAAAATCTATAGAGTAATATCATATAACAAATTAAATATTGCAACATTCTTTACAGTAATGACAGATTTAGGTGGAATTCCTTTGTCTAATATGCTATGGGAACGAGTGATTCTCTTAGCATTTTAACAGAATTCAGAGATTAAATTCCTTCAGAGTTTGCTCAGTCTGGTCCCTAAAGCAAAGTGATCTCTCTTTACAGTCTTCCTTCTTCATTCATAATACAACTCTTAATTTTTGCAGTCCAAAAGACTCCTTCAAATCAGTACTCTGTCTTTCATTGTTTTATTGCGTTCTGTGTTAGTTGCACAGTTAGCAAACACTCTCTTGAAAGATTACAGAGTTGTGAACATTTTCACACAATAGCAGGTAATGCTGCTGTGAGGCATACAATGTAATAAAAATAAGATAGCCAAAAATAATTATATGTATACATTCATACAAGTTTTCTTCAACTGATTTTATTAATAATTCAGTTTTTTAAACTGGACTGGCTACATAAATTAGCAAAAGCAGTATTGAGACTTAGGACAGAATAATCAACTACTTTATACTATAAAGGAATGTCTGAAAAGCATCTTGAAGTCTATAGTGCAAGAAATCAAACACTTAAGGGAAGAATCATTAGTATCTTCAGTCAATTGAGAGACTCTTGTTCAGAAAAACTATCAAATATATTCTGAGCACTACAACGCGCACAAAAATATCTACTGAACAAAAACAGAAGATAATCATCTACCACTACTGATAGGCTCACGCCCTCTAGATTAAATCAAAAAAAATTATTCCCAAAAGCAACAATCCCTTTTCATTCAAAAATGAACACTCTCCCACCCTCACCCCAAATCTCAGTTTTCAAGAAGCCTAGTAAAACCTAACAGATTATGTGTATAGCCTTCCTCCAAGAGGCAGTCTGAACCTTACTGGAAGCTAAGGTGTACCTGGGGACGAAAAGCCACTCAGTCACAATCTCTCACAACTTGAACATTAGAGAGGAAAGAACCTTCCTCTGAGAAAAGAAATTTGGGGGAAGGAGGTGGTGATGCAGAAATGTGTTAATCTGTGTATCAGAAAGAAAAGATTATTGCTTCTATTACGCAAATTGAGACATTTTTTATCCTTGTCAGTTATATTTCCACCATCACTTTCTGGGCTCTCTGCTGCCTACACCAAAAACAAGAAATTCAATCAGACCGTTATTTGCAAGTAACTCATTTGACTGCAATATCATAAAGACAGTAAGGTCAATGACAGCCTGAAGTTCTCACAGCATACACTGAGAGTGTGAAAAAAAATACCAGCTTGGGTACTAAGAGAATGGAGAAGTAGCACGTTTGCTAAAAAGAAAAAAAAAAAGTCATAATTGCCTATGAAAGATACTGGGCTGAAACTCAGGAGGCCTGGGTTGTCCCCAGGTTCTGTCAGAATTTCTTCAAACAACTCTTAATGAATACCAAAGCTGTTAGCAGAGGTTGAAAAAAAAAAAAGGTTCCACTCTGCTGGAATTTAAGAATCACATAGTTGCATCCTCACTTTTCAAACTGAGGATTTTAGACAACTTGTCTAATTATTGTCCCCTCAGAAAAACTGCAGCAGTATCTCTAAATACAAGCAAAGAAATGGGTGCAATATTACCATACCTAAGTCACAGAGAAATTCTGAGTCAGAAAATGCTGAAACATTAAAAAAAAAAAGCATGGAAAGAACTTACTTCCCCGCTGATTTTAGAATCTGAGGGAACAACTGTGTTCCCTGCAGATGCAGGACTCTCTACCAGTCGTTTCCTTGATTACCTTCTAGTGCATTCAAGGAAGAATATAAAGTTATTTTCCTCTTCATCCCTTTCCCTTTCACAAAATCTAGGTAGTCTCCATTTCATGGAAGGAAATTTTTAATATAACAGATACTAGCAGAGGTGTCAAGTACAAATATCTTTCAAAGCACTCCGTAAACACATCAGTTATCACTCATTTACCAAGATCCAGCGAGACCAGCAGTATTTACATGTCATACCATGAAGTACTACAGTCAGCAATGGCACCTTTTCATTTTAAGGCAAGGGAATGCAAGCAAAAAGTCTTTCTTATGCGAGAGAAAATATGTATATCAACATCTACTATATTTCTACTATTTTATAGAAGTAACTTCAAAGAGAGAGTATTGTTCTACATGAACTTTTATTTAACATAGCCTTACCTTCAAAAGTCCTCTGTGAAAAAAGGTTAAGCCTTTATAAAGCATAGCTATAGGCTGATTTTTGTTCAGTTCCAATGAGTGCTGAAAATCCTCATGGGCTGTTGCATAATCCTGTGATTAAGTAGATTAATTTAGATGACAGAGAAGACACCATACACATAAAAAGGAACACATACATTTATCTTCATAAAAGTAAACTACTGATTTTTTTTTAATATATGAAGTCAGTTTCAGGGCTAAGCAGCAATGATTGTTAATTGACAGTCAGAATATCAAAGAATAGGGCATGCACAATACACTTCCACGTTTTACAGCAAATTCTATATAAAACGTAGGAAAGTAAGCAGAAAAATAGCTGGAAACAGAGTGAAAACAAGAATAAAGTGGGAAATCAGCTATTTAGCATTCACATTATCTTTGAGGATAAAGTTACTTGTTTTACATTAAAGCATAAGAACAACACACATAGATTATGTAACAAAATAGGATGTTAGCATTTTTGTAGGGTTTTTTGTTTGTTTCTTGTGTGGTGTGTGTTTTTTAAAGTACACAGGGCAGCTACTGTGTTGGCCCTAACTGTTTTCCTTTTTAGACTGGCATTTAACAATACTACTTAAATGCAGCTGTAGGTTATAAAAAGTCAAATTCCTTATTCATATCTTACTCCTCAGACACACAAACAATCCAAGATGTGCATGCAAGGTACTTGCCCTCTGATTCTCTGCATTAAATAGATATGCAAATGGAATACTTGAAGAATAACTCTGAACTGTCAAAGTCAACCACATGAAAATCAGGGCTTTTGTTACTATTTTGGTTTTTAATTTAAATAGGAATGAAGCTACTGAGAAAAAGTAGCAACTGGCATAAAGAACAACGAAGTAATCAGCAACATCCACACGACCAAAAACCAAACAGGATCCCCAAAAACCACTAACCTCAGATATGAAGTAAAGGGTACCTCTGTGCCTGTAGAGCCGTGCTGATGGTTGTAGCTGAATAGCTTTGGTGAGATCAGATAATGCTTCACTGATTCGTCCTAGTGGGGACAATATCTAAGAGTACAAAACAAAAACACAGTTTAGAGCAAACAGGCCAAATACATTTGTTTTAGAAATACGAAGATTATTCTTTTTCCTATTCAGCTGTAACAAGAGTAACTGTATTTGTTAGAACTGGCTGGAAAGTTCTACTATAAATTTCAGTGCTTACTGCTATTAAACCCCTATCAAAGGGAAAATCTGAAACCATTTTTCTCAAAAAAAAAAAAAAAATCAGTGTCCATGAACTTCACCAATAACATTTGCAGAAACTTAGTATTCCAAATAAAAACAAGCTACAGCAAAATACTCTATTTTAAGTTATTTCAACACATTCAATTGAAAATGTAATTAAGGTATTCCCATAAACCCTTTCCATTTGACAAAATACTCCCCCCAATGAAAAGTGGTCTATTTTCCAATTATTTGAATGCCTTTCACATATTTGGATCAAAATTATTAACAAATGTATTAACAAATCATGAAAATTGTGAATTAGAATTTCATATTATTGCAGTTATAATTATACAGTATGCTGACTTTAATAAATATTTATGTTTTCAATTTGCCTAGAAAGCTGCTTCTTGAAATCCATTTCCTGTAATTTAATTGGCAAAACAAAACATGATTTTCAATATGAAAAATACTTGTGTATCTGAATGACATTTAACTTATACGCATGAATATAAAACCAAAATATTTGATTAAAAACTCATTCTTTAGAAGTTTGGCATTTTACCAACTAGTCCTAAGAACAGATTTACTAAGGTGACACTAAATGCAAAGAGAAAGGTTCAAGTGATATTTTGATTCATTATATCAAAAAAAACATAAAACATACATGATCTCGCTACCCAGTATGTCAAAAACTAAACACTTAGATATAACATCTGCTATTTTACTGGCTATAGTAACTCCATATGATGTATGTTTCATTTTAAAAATAAACATTCCACAAATTACGCTGTTCAAGAGCAAATATATATATTTTAAAAGAAAGGAGGAACGTCCACAGAAAAACACAAATAAGAGGTCTAGTCATTAAATCAGTGTACAAACACTTAGAAACACTGTATAACTGCAACTTCTCCAAAAATCTGGAGAGACAAAAAATGCTCACTTCTGCTCGCTGTTCAAATACTTCAGGATGATCTGGTTCTAGACTAATCACCCTACTGAGCTCAAACAGTGCAAGTTCAGCATTTTTCATATCCTGAAAAGGAAAAAATAAACAAGGTAAACAACTTTACATTAAAAGCCCTGCACACCTTTGCTAATAACATTAAAATGCAGTATTCTACAAATAGCTGAGAAAAATCCACCCCTATCTGCTGTAAACAATAAACTTTACTTGTAGACCTCATCTTTGTGCTGTACCTCTAATAATTTATTAATATAACTCTGTGAATAAACATCAGTTTACGGCTCCACAGGTACCTTTCTTGGCAGCAAAGCTGTCTCAAGCTCTCATGTGAATTCCAACACATATGCATACTCTCACCCACCAGTGTTTTAATCCGTAACTTAATCCAAGTACTGATGAAAGGGTTGATGCATCTTGCCTATCTAAATTTTTGTATTGTCCTCAACAAATTGTAGGATGGAAGCAGTCACTTAATTGAAAAAAAAAAAAAAAATCCAAACTGGTTATACAGCAAGTTCTACATTAGATTTCATTGATCTTTTTCTTCTTTCTCAAGGCAAAGGCATTTTGTATGTGTTTAACATCATCTTTGTGTCTTGAAAATGTTGTCCTCAATAAATTGTAGGATGGAAGCAGTCACTTAATAGAAAAAAAAAAAAATCCAAACTGGTTATATAGCAAGTTCTACACTAGATTTCATTGATCTTTTTTCTTCTTTCTCAAGGCAAAGGCATTTTTTATGTGTTTAACATCATCTTTGTGTCTTGAAAATGTCACTCACAGAAACTTTTATGAAGCTAAGCTGTCTCAACATCTTAGCCGAACTGAGAAAACAAACTCAACCTGGTGTTAAAAACATGCAAATATGAGGGACCTCAAGCTCCTGTCAGCAACACTGAAGAATTAAATATTCTGCACAAAGGAATTTTCAAGGAGTTATGCAACCGTTTTTTCTTCTAGAATTCCAGCTACCATTCAATCAGGATTCAACAGGCCACAAACTCAAACTACAAAGGACCACAGCCTACTTTTAAACTTATTTTTGCTCAGTACATTGTTTGAGCAGTCAGCTGTAACTGCAAGCAATTTAACTTTGAATTTTTTTTTTAACAAATTCAAGGTGGTATATGTATCAAGAGGCATAGGCAATCAGAAGCAATATAAAGCCTACCAGATTGCAAGAGGTGGCGATGTTTCCAAGTTGCAATAAAAGACTTTTTTGTTTCCAAATACAGACTAGATGTGGTGACAAATTCTGTGGAACTTCATAAACGTGCTTCTCAGAGGCAAGATACTGCCTGTTATCTTATTAGACAACTCCTTCAAGTAACTGTGGCTCTCAGCCTTACTATCCACCACTCACAATTGTGCATATACCCTCCTGTAGCACCCTTGCTTCATGCTGCTTTACTTCCACAGCCCCACAAAGCAAACGTATCCATGGCTTGAGCACTGTGAGCCACTACATCCCTCTATGTTGAGGAGCACCTACCAAGGGCTGGACACATCACTATAGCAGGACAGCACTCAGACTTTGGGATGTACCTATCAAGTTCTCATAAGTCTAGCTCCTCCTATTACAGGCCTTCTTATACTTTGGATTCAAATAATTTGGTCAGATATTAATTTAAATAATTATCTACTCACATGTAGTCCTTTTTTGCCATATGCTATCCCTCGTCCATAAATGGCACTAACCAGCTCTGGTTCTTCCTGTTAAAATTAAAAATGAATACAATAAGTAGTTGTGGGTTGTTGTTTTTTTAAAGGTATCTTTCTTCAATACGTATTTAATTCTTGCTGATCTTAAGTAGTAAGCAATGAACTTAATCACAGCTTCAGGTAAAGAAATGGTTGTATTACAGTCCATACTTTCACAAGCGCACAACTTCCAACTCAATTTACTGGAATTGTTCTGAAGTATTTGTTTGGAAAATGAGTTAAACAGCAGGCAGTCGTAGTGTCAGAAGCTATGTACACATTAGTACAGTCTGTTGTCCAAACTTCATTACTTGTAACCTTATTGGTAATTACATGACTTCTTTCATCTAATGTCACTGAAGTGATAATAAACAAATACAATTCAGGCATTCAAGGCTTGTTTTGTTCATAATTTAAATTTAAGATTTAAAACTAGGAAATCGTGACATCCTGATCAAATTTGTATTCAGGCACCAACTAAAGCTAGAGGTATTCTGGCAAAATAGTTCTGCAAAATTCAAACAAGCCTTCCTCAGGTTAGATTTAAGTCCGAGTTCCAACTTGGACGCTTAAGGGAATGCATCTTACGTAGTGAATCTACTTCTTGTTCAACGTTATTCACTTCAGCCATAGTTTCCCATCCAAATTTGAAGAACAACAGCAAAACCAGTTTTCTTGGCACAACAATGCCTATGCAGTCAATTTCCCTGAAAACCAGTCAGGAATCAGGCGTCTTCACACCTGCAGCCAACACAGCTGTGCTACAAAAGTTTGTAGCATAGACCTGGTCTCATTTAACTGGGACAACTGCCAAGAAACAATTTTTTTCATTGACAAAACAACAGCTGGCACACCAATGCCGGCACCTTGCCAGACCTGAGCTGATTCCAAGTATAAACTTGCCAACATCAACTTCAGGTAACCTTCCTACTTCTAATACAGTGGCTAAGCAAGGCTGTTTTGTTGTGTTAAATCTTTTAATATTCACTTTATATGTATTTAAAACTGCCTTACAGAAGACAGAGTGAACAATCATAACCACTTTACAGCCTTTCAAGCATACAATAAGCATGTTTCTCCTTTCAACTAAGATGTGTGCATTGCAAAGGTACTCTATTATATACACACTTCCCGCAGTATCTTTCTACAGTTGCTGTATCTTGCCTGCCTTCACTTATATTAAGCTTCCTTCTTAATAAAGAGAAGGCAGGAAACATAAGTCCAGTGGTTTTTGAAGCAGGATTTTTCATTAGGGTTAAAAAAAAATTCCTCATATTAAAAGCAAATCAAAGAGAGATCACAAAACACCCAAAAACCCCAAAGAAACAAACAAAATTAAAAAAATTCTAGTCCTCTGACAAATTCTCTGGAATAATTCCATTAAATTGCCACACCTTCACCCAATTTAAGTACAGGCCATATGACATTTGAGTTAAAAAAATACATGTCAGTATTTGCAATATTACTTTCAGCTTGCATTTGTGTACTACAACCAGTTTAGATCAAAAAAAAGGTTCATGCTTCTGGTAGTCCCAGGCTCTTTGCCATAAAAATACAGTATTTTGAAATCAGCTTTAGTTTAAGCTTTTTAACTGCTGCTGTTGGTTTTGTTTTAAAAGTGGTTACCTTCTGCTTCATAGAAGAAGATTCTGAATTCTTTACCTCAGTCAGAAAAAAAAAAAACTTGAAGTATTAGTTATGCTTTACTTGTATATTAAAATTCATCAAACGCTTATCAGTGAAGGAGAATAAACCCAACATACAAAATCATTTATCATCGTGAAAGCAATGTGGTACTTGCCACTAGCAATAAGTGACTTCTGACAGGTTTTTCTTCTGATGTCACTGGCAACATGCTAACTGTCACACCAAAAAATCCACATTAAAATATCTCAGCCTTCACATTAAGTAGGCAATCAAAGGAACTTTATTTTTTGCACAGTTGAGGTTTCTGAAGATGTTTTATTTTTGTCAAAGTGCCATTAAAAGTTTATTCATAAAGATGAGAAAAATACTCACCGAATAACCAAGATACTGAATCACCCAATTTTAAGAGTATGCTTATGTTTTGATGGAAAAAAATAAACACATAATAGAATACTTACTGTTAGAGTAATTACTCTCCTTTAAAAATCCTTAAATAAATCTTTGTTTTAGTAAGAGCTATATGTTATACCGGATAATTTCATAAAGTGACTTTTTAGGGCTCCAAAAAGAAAACTTACCTGCAGCATTGTTGAAAAGTGTCGTATGGCTTCATCATACAAGCCGTTGCCAATCAACACGTAAGCAATTGCTAACAAAAAATTACAAATGTAAATAAAACAGAAAAAAAAAAATCCCATTTTTTAAAATACATTTTACAATTTGGTTGTATTTAATGTAAGTTCCTACATTGCACTGAAGATTTCAGTAGGCAAATGATTTCTGAACTGACACTGAAATTACTTCCCTCAACCATTACCTAGTGTTCATTAATTTTTCAATTCATACTGTGCTCATCAGAATTGGTTTTGGGTTTTGTGGTTTGTCTGGAATTCTTTTTTTCCCCTCTCCTTTTTGCAAGTTGTTCAGGAAAGAGTCCATGCTTGCTTCTAAAGTACAGGAAAGGTATCATGATCCCATTTAGCAGCCCTAGATGCCTTCTCAATTAGAACTGAACCTGGCTAACACTGGGTAACTTTTTTTGATAATTCCATTGCAGAACATCCAGTTGTACTTGCTTGTTGCTAAACTTCACTATCTCACAATAAGGTTTTCCTTAATTTCAATTATCTAGAAAAACTAAAACTAAAGCGATTCCATTGTTTATAAAAATGAGATTGAAAAACTACAGAATCTTTACCCATATTAAAATTATGAAAAGCTTTACAGTCCTTGCATATTCTGTACCACCACCAGCCCCCCACCCCTCCCCTGGAGTAGAAGCCAAGTGTTTGAAAAAGAAACAGACTACTGTTTTAGAAACACGTTCCTGTAATCTCCACAAGATATAAAAATACAGTCAAGTCACAAGACTGGAAAGCTGTGGTTGTGTTTGCATGACTGAAATTCAGTTCTAACAGTTGAGTATCTCAATATTTCTTTAATTTCACATGTTATAATCTCTCTCAGTTCTTAACTCTGGACTAAGCTCTGCCTACACTGCCCACAAAAATCAAGCATCTTGCAGACCAGAGCTATGAAAGGTAAAGTACAGCTTTTCCCCACGCTTGCACAAATGGCTTCCAACGAGTTTTAGCAATCATCCAAACCTAATGGAGGAGGCACCTAGCATCTTAATTATTTACTCAAACATGAGAAGAGACAAATAAGCCAGTTAGAACAAAGGTATTTTTAATAGGACACAGACACTTATCTTTTATGCAGGCAGAGCCACATTGTTTTGGTAGTGTTGCTAAGCACTGTTCATTAAAAGAGGAAAAAAGTTAAATGAAAGAGAAATAAGAAATGTATTTAATCCAGAGCTTGCCTCATTCTTGGACCATTTCTATTATGGAAATATTTGTGTGCATTATAAGATCTTTCCTCAATACATAAAAAGCTTCACTTGGTACAGACACATAGCATTGCCAAAAAAGGAAAGAAAATTGGCAGAGTGAAAGACAGCTTGAAGAGCTCTTGAATTTTCATTCATTTTAATTTCATTTCATTCTTCTCCAAGAGTATGCAGTCCTGAGTATCATCTTTACAGTTCCAATCCCAGAACACAGAACAGTTGGCACATAAAAAAAAATCAACTCAACCATGCCAGTATTATGCAAAAAAGTGGAGAAAGCAAGATAATGAACATTCATTGTCTTTCTGATAAAGAGTTCATTCTATTTATCCAAGACTCTTGGCAAAACGCAGGTCATAGACTATATCTGTAAAACAATGGCAAGTGATTGGCAGCTAGTAGCTGATACAGTACCAGCTTATTTTTAAATTTTATACCTTTGATTAATCTTTTCATCTTTAACTAAGTACTACAAAAATACAAGTACTTTATTGAGAAAAAATATAAGCGTTAACACTGGTTCATTAGCCCAAGTATTTGGGTACCAGCATTGCTTCAGAATACCCCATACACTTCATGCTGCTTTTCCTCAGAAAAGCTAAAAGTAACATGCACAAACAAGGAGGACTCGGGCTCCTCACACCATGACACACTTCAAATAAATTGCATAGGCAGGTCCCAGCCTACAGGCCAAACTAAGAACAGGGACCTTCTGGCATAGTCTTCCAAATCTACAGAGTAGACACTAAAAGCATCGAGTCTTTTCTGCTAGATATAAGTTCAGTATTCCCCGCAGGATTCTATGAACATAGCTAGGAATATGAAGAAAGATTAAGCCCCCAAATTTTCCTGGATAAATCCGTGAAGGCAGAAATTATGTCAACAAAAAACTGCCCAAATGTTTTAATTTGGTTAGACAACTTATGAGCAAAGGGTCCCTTTGCTCTTAAACAAAACACAGTCTGCTGCCTTCCTTGACATGCATCCTCAACAATCTCTTTGCTCCCTCCTAATACCTCTGCTTCCTATGAAGGATACCAGTTTGGAGAAGCAGTGCAAGAAACTCCTTCCTCAAGTCCTTTGAGAAAAGTATTTCCTGTTGCTTTATTTGAAATGCCTTCATTTTCTACGCTACCTGTGCTTCGAAAAAATATCAAGTAGCAGCCCGTATAAAGACATAATTCCAAAAGCCTTCCTGCTGCCTATAAGTACTGATGGGAAGAGTGTGCAAAGAGGGGAAGAGAGATCCAAGATCTATGCTTGACAGAAAGCATATTACATCGGTAAACTTTTCTGGATGTTTGAATAGTTTTAGTCAACAGTAATGACAAACGGGAACCAGGAAGTAGGTGAGATTGTTTAACAGTAGTTAACCAAAAACCTGCTTAAGCAGACATGGCGAAGAACTCTAGTGAGCAAAGCAGAAAAGATTTTTAGGAACGGAGATACATCTTTTCTTTGTATGACCAAAGAAAACTCACTGTATTTTCAGGCTTATTAGGATCACTTTAAAATTAACGTATCACTAAGGAATCATCAGTTCAGTTTCAAAACATTCAGTGCTAATAATTAGCACATAATTCACGTGCACAAACCTTATATAAAGGCATCTTACCCAATTCTTCATTTGTGTTGTCATTATCAGTAGCAAATGGAAATCGTTTTTGCTCTGCAAGCAACTTCGCTTGACTCTGTAAAACATAATTTTTTTTTCAGTGCTCAGCAAACAACAGTAAAAAAAATAATAGAAAACCTGTGTCTTAAATCCTTAAGAGAACGCCTTAAATCAGAAAGTTAAGACTAATGTGATTTCTTTAAGGTAATAAAAAACAAATTCATTGCTAGTCTTCAACAGGGAGAAAAACTGCCCTTTAGTCAGGTGCTGCTCTTATCTCCTCTAACATAAGGCTAACCAGATGAAAGGACACTATCAGCATTTTACCAGTGGCTAATGTTTCTGCATTACATCTGCTTAACATGAAGTTTTGGAAGGCTCTAATACATGTGCTACTTCATAGGAAAGTTTATACTCCTTACCCCATTAATTATTGCTTTGTCTCTTGCAAAGGCAAGCACGCTACAGAAGAATAAAACGTGGAAAAGGAAATGCTGAAAAGAATATTGCTCCAGCAATAAAGACAAGCTTAACTTAACAGTACCACACTGAAGTAAAAAGGCTGTCCTCTTAACAACACCTTCCTATCAGTTATAGACTTTGTTCAGACAATTGTAGCCTCATCTAAGATTTCTGCTCCCCAAATAACGCACCTACAGAAACTGTCAAATACAACCCCTTCAAAATACAGAAATACTCTCTGGTTCATTTTCACAAGTATTTTCCACAGACAGCTATAAGCCTACCCAAGCAGTTTATGTTAGAAAAATACAAAATGTTCATTTAATTCGAAGGCCTTCCAAACTGTTTTAGGAAGCAAGAAGGGAGAAAAAATAAACAAACCAAAACACCATCACTACTCAGTTCTCTTCTTTTGCTTTAGCTAAACAGCACATATGTACTAACTTCTGAGAAGACAGTTAAACATCTTGAACTTCAGAGAACATATTTAACTCAGCATTTCCTCTAGTGAGAGGAGAGCACTTTGTCCTCCCCCTCTCCACTTTTTCTGGCTTGTTCAATCAAAAGTTGGCTTGTTACTTGTGTCCATGTCACAGACATTTCAATGATATATAAAGCACCAAAGTAACTGGCCAAATCCCACTGCATACTTTCTGCCCTGTTCATCTAACAATCTTAGGCATAAGAAGAAAGTTTGGTCTGCTCTAAAAACTAGAATATTTTGGAGGGTATGAAGGATTAGCAAAGCAGATTTTACAAACCTTGCAGAGATCATGTATAAGCTCTACATTACGCTATAATGTTCTGAGAATTATTACTCCACCTACTGCTGCACCTACAGTAACAAAAAGGAAAAGTTCTTTTCGTTATAGAAAAAGGTCATTAAAAAACAGCACAAGAATGAGCAGGGTTCAACAGGTATACCAATTAGAAAACTAAATCTACATTGCAGACCATATACATTTACAAATCACACACCTCTAAACACAACATTTTTAGATAATCAATAGCCTTCAGGTAATTTCCAGAAAACCTGCTTCATAAAGTGATTTCCAATATTTAACTCTGCAAAATGTTATTTTTCTATAATAGGCTTAATGTTACAAAAAACACATTTTTACTACAGCACAACCTCTTCCTTGCTGGATTTACAAAAAACGCTTACTCTGCTTTGTTTGTGGACAAAAGATAAGATATAGCAAGGTATTGGAAAATAAGCTACAACCCAAAGAATCGGGCATTACATTAATATCTTGTGAATTACAGTGCTGCATGTGACACTCAGCTAGAGAACTACCACAGTTTCCACCACCCTGATCTACTTCGTCTGTTTTGTTACCACAGAATAACAGAATAGTGTTTGGTTCTTGGGGTGGGGGAAGAAGGGGAATCATACTTCTTCAACAAATTCTGAATCCAGTTACAGGTTAGACAACCTGCAGCTCTACTTGCAAAAATTGTGAGCCATTCTGCCTTCAAGAAATGAGAGAAGAATTTTCATCACAGGACCAGTTCCCAATAGGTTGAATTGTTGCTCACTTCAAAACAATTTTTTTTTTTAAACAGGGAAATTTCTAACCAACTAATATACATTTCACTGCCTTAGAAAGAATTGCTGGTACTGCTAGATTAGACAGAAGATCTGACCAATATTTGATGAACCAATGTATAAGGAGAATATTCAAGTCAAATAATTGGCTTGGTGGATTTGCAGTACAGTAGTTTTATTTCCAAATGCCACCTTTGGTGAAGTTTCAAATTAGAATATAGTTTCCATGCACCCCCTTAGCCAATTATTTCTACAATTTTGCCAAGACTTCTCTGTATATTCACATAGGAATTATTTGAAGATTTGCAATATCTGTGACTCTACTGGACTCAAGAAGCAACATCAAACCTGTGTTCTGATATAAGCTGAAGATTATATTTGTGCAAGATCAAGAGGTTAACAGTAGTGTTGCAAAAAAACCCAAATTCCAGCATAATCCTCTTTAAATCTCTCTACCAAGAGATACTTCTTTCGTTAGAATATTCTCCACATACCACATCTGTATTATATTCAGTGAAATATGGTCTGAAGCCTCTAACTCTATCATCTGTGCACAATGCTATTTCTGTAGCAATTCAAGTTATCACTCCTACTCTTACACACATTTTGTGGTAACCCTCTTCAGGTAGTTAATCTGGGTAAAAACTAAAGCACCTTTCCCTTTTTCAGCCATAGCCCCTACACCCCTAAGATAAAAAATTATTTGGTAGACTAATCCAGATAAAGGTTAACCTTCAGCAGAAACATCAGCTTCAATTAGTTTAAACTGCTGACAGCCCTAGAGACTCATGACTGAGTACTACAAAATGAGCAACTTGAGTTTATTCACACTTAAGCCTTTTGGGGACCTATGTCTACTGATTAAGAGATTCTATTTGCAGTTATTTGCCTGAACTTCACTCTAACTGGTTATGCAGCTAAAGTGATCTGTGACTTCAACCAACCATTAAAAATTATTTTGTAAATTATAATCTTGATAGCATACCAGAATTTTTTCTGTGTTGAGAGAAAGCATAGATTCACAAGATGAAGACCCTCCTATGTCACAATCTGATTCACGGAAGTGCAAAAATGATGAATCTGGGGGAAAACAAAGAGAGAAAATAGACTTAGGAACTCAAAGAGTTACATACATGTGTGTTCTCTTATCACATCTCACATTTCCTCATGTTCATCTGAACAGCTTCCCCATTGGGCACTCCATAGGGCAGAACTTTCATGAACTCTTTTCTGCACACAACACTCCATCCACACAGCCAGGGAAGCAATAGCTGACATGACTGCTTTTATATAATTATTTTTATCACTACTTCTACTTACGCTTTTGGCTAAAAATATATGGAAAAAAAAATGAAGGTGTAAAAAAAAAAAGCGGGGGGATAAAAAGGGAGGAAGCTGGAAGCAAATGAGAATAGTATGTGGTAAACGTCTCCATTTGGCATTATGATTCTGTTCTCTGGTCCAACAAATTAAAAGACAAAATTATCATTCCAGTCCCAGAGAGGAAAATAAACGGAATGGACCATACAGAGGCTGCTGCTGGAAGTCCAGGAAACAGAGGTATAAAGACTGTAAAAAGCAGACAGAATAGTGAACCATAATTGACCACAATACAAAGGTCCTCACGGGTATATTACTAAGAAGGCCATTACAAAAAATGTAAGATTGATTCAAATCTATTAAAAGTCAAACACAGCTTGTTGGCATAACAGAGAAAAAGTTTATCAAAGGAAACAAGTAAACAAGTAACAACAATAATCAACAAAACTTCCCAGATTGGTAGGACCATAGAAGTCACTGCTCCACCTACATGGTGCTTTAAATGCTATCCCAACAGAATTGTTAGCTTTAAAATCTTCAGATCTTAAAGTTTCTATTAACTTGAAATATTTCAAAAGTAAACAAGAAAAAGCAAATAAACAGTATTATCACTTTGATTCCATGTCACAAATACCAAATTTTATCATGTCCCCTAATGTTTATAAATATAAGCTTTACGGTAAGTTTGAAAGGCTGGAGGGCAGTGTGTGTTTCTGATTCACTTTTACAGGCAGTGTTATTCTTATATTTTGATTACGTACAGGTTGCAGGTAGTTAAATCCCCATTTCTCACAAGTACAGTGCTAAAAGAGGAAGAGTCTTATAAAGAGAAGTCAAAATAGCATCTAAAATAATTCCCTGTAAATATGGAACTAAGTTGAGCCGTGAACGATAACTGGTGGGAGAAGTTTTACAACAGAAGCAAGAGTGGTGAAAAACAGGTCAAAGTTTAAAGTCAGGAAGTCCTGTAAGAACAGTGGCTCACCATCCAGAGTTTCCAGAAAAAGCATTGCCAGTAAAAGGTTTCAACACTGCCCTTTGTTCTTCACACTTCAAACCCTCCTGCGCTACGGCAGCATTATTAACACATTACTTCTGTGTTGGTGCTCGTATGTCAGTTAACAGCCATGGCTGTGGACTCACTGAGAAATTTTTGCTTCACAAGCCAAAACAAAGAGGTGCTGGCACAGCCTACCTCCAGAATAAATTTCTCCATAACAGCAAAAACTTACTAAAGGATTTTTATCTGTAACAAGCTATAGGGAGGACAGGACCCTTCAAATCTTCCAATTCTTGGGGCAACAACCTGCTTTCCTCATAGGGAAGAATGGATCTGCCTTTGTCTGCAAGTTAGATACAGTCAAACCTGTACCACACTGCCTCATTAATAACTTTATGAAAAAGTGGAAACACCACCAGAGAAACTACTCTGGACCTTCTAGCAGGCTACACAAGAAACTATTTGAGATAAAAAGATTCCCAGCTTCTGGGAAAGTTGTACTAAAGCAAAGACTGAGGGCTTAAGAGAATTTTTCAAATTGCAATTTATTTAGCCATAGGATTTAAATAGCAAGGATTGAACTGGTATACGGCTATTTCAGGGTAAGTATGCTGTTCTGTAACTAAAGGCTACCTTATCATCAGTGTGTGCAAAGTACCTGAGGTACTTGACAATTTAAGCAGAGTTCCTTATATCAATCCCAATTACATCCACAATTAAATCAAAATCTAAACTTCCAAACACACCTCTGAAGGAGTATCCTGAGTCAATCATTCATGCCTTAGTAACAGAGAAAATGTAATCAAATCCTTTGCCATTTATTAACTTATATAGTATATAGATTTTATCTCAACACTGGGTGAAAGTCTTTTTGGTTTTATGCTTAAGCTTGAATGATCTGGAGCAATGGCCACCTAAGATAACTTTCACGATCTGATTTAGTGTTTACATACTATGGCCCTCAGTCACTGTAGCCACCCCAAAAAGAAAAAGCAACTGATACCATATACCTACTGAATATATACAGATAAAAACTAACTAAAGAACTTTAAGTTATGATGACAAAAGCACACATACAGAGGAAAAAAAAATGCAGATGCAGGAAACTCATAACAAGGTGTTTCTAGAAAGCTGGCAATTTTGGGTGGATTAAACTAGCTGTCCATTACCCTTAGGGACTACAGCGATTGTTGATATGAGCACAGACTTTATAAAATATGGGGAAAAAGAAAACCTGCAAGTAGCTAAGCAGTCGTGACACATCAATTGTTATTCACATACAAGTAACTAAGTCTATATCACACTGAATTGATGAAATATTTTCCTTCATCTGTATTACAGGTACATTGTGATTCAGGCTGGCATTTTTGTATAGCACATTCACACTATGTTCATTATCAAAGTTCGTAAGAGATTACTGAAGTCACACGATCCTGATACAACACATATTTAAGCATATAAAAATAGTTTTACCAGTGCCTGTATTACAAGCCATCGATTAACTTGAAAAAGACCAGAGACGATCTGCTACCTGAACTTACTGCTCCTAAGGAAAAGCAGCCAGTTTGCAGCTCACAGGCAAAACACAGATAACTGTAGCTGAAAAGGAATCAAACCCTATTCAACTGCACACAATACGAGCACGAGGGGTTGGCACGCCTGTGCACTACGGAGTGCAGGGACTACAAAGCACCCGGAGTCCCGCAGCTAGAGCCGGCAGGTTGGCGAGTGGGACAACAGGAATCCTCCTGGGTGAGGTACCGGGGCCCTGCGGGCTCCCCTTGAAGGGCTGCGAGCCTTTCCTCTGCTCAGCGCCACAGCGGCGGTCTCAGCTCCGCACCCCACGGCGGCACAGAGCTGCTCGGGGCCGCAGCCCACACTGTCTCGCTATCAGTCAGCTGAACAGCAGCAGCGCCGAGCCGCCCGTCCTCCGCCGCCGGGAC